TGCTGACCTCGTGATCTGCCCGCCTAGGCCTCCCAAAGTGCTGGGATTACAGGGGTGAGCCACCTCGCCCGGCCGTGTTGTTGTTTGTTTTTTCCCAATTCGCAACCACTTTATTGTTTTACAATCACCTCCCACCCTTCTCGCATGCACCTCACGCTTTCCACCAACATCACACCTGCTCACATCCACATCTCTTACTCATGCACCAATTCTGTCACCTAATTCCTGTCACTAATTCCTGGTGCCCTCAGTGGTCAAGACTCTCAACCTCACTATCGCCCACGCGCCGGCACTAACTGAAACTCAAACTCCTCATCGTCCTATTTGTCCAAACAGTAAATTTGTTTGTGCGACATGACTGCTCCATCTGCGAGCCTTCAGTCCCAAGCCGCCAACCTCCCAGCAACTCCCAGTAGCACGCGGTTATAAAGTTTAGTTATGCAGGATAAACAAGTTCTGGAGACCTAATATACAGCATGGTGAGTCTAGTTAGTAACACTGTATTATATACTTGAAATATGCTAAAAGAAGGTTGAGCGCAGTAGCTCATGCCTGTAATCCCAGCACTCTGAGAGGCTGAGGCGGGAGAATCAGCTTGAAGCTGGGAAGCAGAGGTTGCAGTGAGCGAGATCAGGCCACTGCACTCCAGCCTGGACAACAGAGCGAGACTCCATCTCAAAAAAGTACAAAATTAGCCTGTAGTCCCAGGTACTCGGGGGCTAAGGCAGGAGAATCACTTGAACCTAGGAAGCAGAGGTTGCAGGGAGCTGAGATCGTGCCACTACACTCCAGCCTGGGCAACGAGAGTGAAACTCAGTCTCAAAAAAAAAAAAAAAAAAATGCTAAAAGAGTTTATCTTAAATGTTCTCTAGACATTAAAAAAAAAAAAAAAGATATGAGGTGATGATGGGTATGGTTTTTCTTCTGTTGCTTTTTTGTTTGTTTTTAAGATAGAGTCTTGCTCTGTCACCTGGGCTGGAGTGCAGTAGCGCAATCTCGGCTTACTGCAGACTCTGCCTCCCGAGTTCCAGTGATTCTCCTGTCTCAGCCTCCCGAAGTGCTGGGATTACAGGCACTCACCACCGCGCCCAACTAATTTTTTTGTATGTGTTTTTAGTAGAGACAGGGTTTCGCCATGCTGGTCAGATTGCTCTCAAACTCCTGACCTCAGGCGATCTGCCCACCTCAGCCTCCCAAAGTGCTGGGATTACAGGTGTGAGCCACTGCTTCTGGCCCTTCCTCTTTGAACTTCTGTCCTCTCATCTGTAAAATGGGGGCAGTCATCTGGACCACCGAATCTATAGTCAGCACGAGTGCAACCCTGGATAAACCTATGTCTGGCCTTCTGACCCTTGGGTCTCCAGGGAGGTAGGAAGAGTCTCCTTCACTTGCTCAACCCACCCTGGGAGAACCAAGTGACCAGAAGACCCCATTGAGCATAAAGAATGCCCAGGCCAGCTGGGCTCGGTGACTCAGACCTGTAATCCCAGTACTCTGGAAGGCTGAGGTGGGCAGATCACTAGAGGCCAGGAGTTTGAGAACAGCCTGGCCAACATGTTGTAACTCTGTCTCTACTGAAAACAAAAATTAGCCAGGTGTGGTGGCGCACACCTGTAATTCCAGATACTTGGGAGGCTGAGGCAGGAGAATCACTTAAACCCAGGAGGCAGAGGTTGCAGTGAGCTGAGATCACACCATTGCGCTCCAGCATGAGCGACAGAGTGAGAGTCCATCTCAAAACACACACACGGCCAGGTGCAGTGGCTCACACCTGTAATCCCAGCACTTTGGAAGACCAAGCCAGGTGGATCATCTGAGATCAGGAGTTCAAGACCAGCCTGGCCAACATGGTGAAATCCCGTCTCTACTAAAAATACAAAAATTAGCCAGACGTGATGGTGGGTGCCTGTAATCCCAGCTACCTGGGAGGCTGAATCAGGAGAATCACTTGAACCCAGGAGGCGGAGGTTACAGTGAGCTGAGATTGCACTATTCCACTTCAGCCTGGGCAACAGGAGCAAAAAACTCCATCTCAAAAAAAAAAAAAAAAAGAAAGAAAGAAACACACAGAAAGAGAGAGAGAGAGAGAGAGAACGTCCAGGCCTACCCCTCCTGGACCCATCATCTTCCTTTGTTACCCAGCAACTGGGAATAGAGGTAACTTTATCTTTCCAGGGTTGGAGAAAACAGTAAGCAAACATTTCTGCTTCTTGGTGACCCAAAAGTGATGAAAGATAAACTACAACTCTGGCAAGGGCAGGTTAGACTCAGAGCCCACCTCACAGTTCCAATCACCCCCAGTACATATACCCACTCCCACCAATGCCCCCTTTCCTTGATAATCCACCTCCCGGACTTCACATCCCCCTGGCCAGGCATGGGCTGGGACAACCGCCACTGTTCTGGGACCCAGGAAGGGGCTCAGCAGGGCTCGGTGAGATCACCCTATGTTCTGTGTCTTCCCAGCCCTCCTGCTGGGACGGGTGGTACAGGACTCATTTCCTTAGTGGGTCAGGGGGAGACTCACGTACCCAGAAACTGCCAGGAGAGGAGAAATCCTCAACCTTCAGTCTCTTCCCAGGCAAAGGATAGAAACCAGCGTTTAGGAATCATCTGGAAACTGGAGTTGGAATCCTGGCTGGGTGACTTTAAACAAAAGGCTTAACCTCTCTGAGCCTGTTTTCTCTTCTGCAAAATGGGGCGTAACAGTGCCCCCATATTCACCCAACAGGCGTGTTCAATTGAGAGAATACAGATAAAGCACAGGCACATATATAGAAAGTGTACCATATAAAATGATGGTGGGCTGGGCACAGTGGCTCACACCTGTGATCCCAGCACTTTGGGAGGCTGAGGCAGGTGGATTACCTGAGATCAGGAGATTGAGACCAACCTGACCAACATGGTGAAACCCCGTCTCTACTAAAAATACAAAAAAAAAAAAATTTTTGCCAGACGTGGTAGCAGGCGTCTGTAATCCCAGCAACTCAGGAGGCTGAAACAGGAGAATTGCTTGAACCTGGGAGGCAGAGGTTGCAGTGAGCCGAGACCACGCCACTGCACTCCAGCCTGTCCAGACTGGGTGACAGAGCAGGACTCCATCTCAAATAAATAAATCAATAAAATAAAATAAAATGGTCACAGAGGTCCTTTGGGCTCCTGGAGTTTCTCAGCCACAGGGTGGATGGAGAGGCAAGTGGTATGTGGATTTCCCCCAGCTCTGGAATCCTTTTAAAAATTGCTTTCTGGGGAGAAGGAAATTCAGAGAAGTTAGGTGTGTGGCCCAAGGACGCACAGCTTGCCATCAGTGGATTCAGATTTACAGCCAGGGATTAAGAGAGCCTTCTCCAGCATTTTATGTCAAAAATCCTACATGATGTCTGGACTGATTCCAGGGGAATCCCTTGGGGAGGGACTGATGTGGCTGGAGCCGGGATGTCCTCCCTGGGACAGGAGCAGGGATCTACCCAATGCAAACAGCCCCCAGCATCAGACCCTGAACGAACCTTGGGGACAAATGCCATTAACAGCCTCTGTTGGTGGTGACCTGCTTTGAGTACAGGTCAGGGGGACACGCCCCACTGGAGGTGGTAGGGTTGTCCTGTATAAACCCGCCCACCATTCAGGCCATTGTGTGGAGGCCTCACAATGGTGTCTCACAAAGCTCTCCCTCTGTCCTGGGCTGCCCGGCCTCTGGTGACTCAGGGCTGGGGGACTGGGGTGCCTTCCCCACCTGCTCCTCAGGTTAGCTCGGGAGCCTAGGTGGGGAAGGGCATGGGGGCAGGTGAATCACAGGCTTCCTGTATCCCCCACCCCAAACCCTTAAGGCCCCTTGAGGCCTCACCTCTGTTTCCAGGCCAAGCCATGAGAAACAGCCCTTCCTCCTCCTCTGAGTAAATGAGCAGACACCTACGCAGGCAGCTCATCATGGATCTCCCCATCTGCAAGCCTGTTTGTCTTGGACGCCAGGGTTGTTTGGTGAAAAAGCCCCAACGTCTTACCTCTGGAGGCAACCAGGGTAAAACGAGTCCTGGGTGGGTTTGGGCAGCCCTGGGCCCACGTATGAACAATCTTGAAACTTCTCTGTGGGGAAGAGACTGGCTCCCTCAACCCAGCAACAACACACAGAAACACCAAGCTGGATGCCAGCCCTTCCCTGAGCCCGGGTCTTTTCTCCGGGCAGTAATGTCCAGCCTAATCTCCTAAAATGACCAACAGCCCTGAAAGACCCCTTTGAACCCAGGAACACGCCTCCCACAACCCTTCCATGCTGCCTTTCTGTTTCCAGTCCTTCCCTCAGCGTCTCCCCTTCACACAGCCTGTATACACACAGCTCACTCAAAGCGACCCAGACACACCTGATGGCTCCTGCCTCCTGGCCCATGCCCACTCCGCCCCCCATGCCGGAACGCCCTTCTCTTTTGCTCCTAAATCTGCCTGTAAAATTCCAACCCTGTATAATTCAGATGCCACTCTGCAGTTTAAGAAACCCCTCCCCCCGCCACCCTCACCCCAACAGTGCCTCTTAGCAAAGTTCCTGCTCAGCCATGTACCCCGAGGGACTGGATGCCCCAGTCTCTCTCTCCCACCAGAGGGGAGCTCCTGGAACCCTGCTGTGGTGACCTGCTTATTTCACTCCCTGAGAGCTGGGCACAGGCACTGGGACTGGAGGTGTCGCCAACACCCCCTCAGGGAGTGAATGTGTGAGTGAGCCAGTGATGGATGAATCCCGGGGCGGTTCCACACCCATCTCGGCAGATACCAAATCCACAATACAGTGGTTCTGCGAACTCGCCCACATCACTACAGAAAATGCAGATTCACTGGGTCGGTGGTGGGGGGCGGGGGTGGAGGAGGCATTTACAGAAAAGGAAAAGCAAAAGAATACCTCCCGGCTGTTCCGGCTGGGGCTTAGGAGTCGCAAGGCACCTGTCCTACCAGCCTCTCTCCTGGAGGAATCCGTCCAGCTCCTCAGTGAGCCCCAGCCCAGTCCCGCTTACCTGGCCTGCAGGTGAGGAGGAGGCTCACGGCCAGCGCTAGCAGGGGCCTGCGTCGGTGCCCTGGGTGTGCGGGGCCCTCCCGGCCCATCCTCCTGCTGGCCCAGGCTGTGCTCCTCAACCCCCGAGAGAGTCCCTGAGACTGAACCCAGCCCAGTCTGGCCCCGGCTGCAGGGAGGGCGGTGAGAACACACCTTGCTGACCTTCTCAAGAGGGGCAGGGCTTGCCCTAGAGGGAAGCAGTGGGTGCCTTCCTGGCAAAGGTCAACTGGCATGATTCACTGCCCTTGGTGACTGACACCCGCAGGCTGACGCCCTCCGAGAGCAGTGGCCCAAGGGAACCCCCACCTCGGGCAACAGAGCCTGACTCCAAGTCTGGAGGTCCCTCTGGGCTTGAAGGAAAACAGGGACCCAGGCATAAAACTGTCCCGTTCTCCAAAGTCCCCAGCTTCTACCTGACTCCCTCCTGCCCAGGGACTGGCATCGCCAGACTAGAGTTGGGTGGACCCTCCCGGGGGAGGCACGGCTGCCTCTGGAGGGTTCTGGAATGTTCAGGAGTGTAGGGGAGGCTGCATTCCCATGAAGGAACTCCCTGGCTGCCAGGGGAGCTGAGGGCTGGCCTTCTCGTACCTTTCCAAAGCTCCACAGAGCCACACCCTCTCTGAGGCCGGCTCTGAGCCCCACAAAACCACCTTGGGGGCTGCAGACCCTCACTCCCCAGTCAAGCTCTTTAACTGCCCTTGACAGCAGCAGAGAGGCAAGGAAAGGGCTAGTGAGGGGTCCAGGGAAGGGTTTGGAGGTTCTTCCTCCTCCTCACCAGTCCTGTAACCTGCAGCAGCTTCTCACCACCCCAGGCCTGAGTGATTACAACAGTCATCCCAGAAGCAGGCTCTACTCCACAAATCGGCCCAGCGCATATTGCAGGATGATTTTTTTTTTTTGAGACAAAGTCTTGCTCTGTCACTCAGACTGGAGTGCAATGGCACAGTCTTGGCTCACTGCAACCTCCGCCTCCCGGGTTCAAGAGATTCTTCTGCCTCAGCCTCCCAAGTAGCTGGGATTACAGACACTCATCACCACGCCCAGCTAATTTTTGTAATTTTAGGAGAGACGGGGTTTTACCATGTTAGCCAGGCTGGTCTCAAACTCCTGATCTTGTGATCTATGCTCCTTGGCCTCCCAAAATGCTGGGATTACAGGCATGAGCCACCGGGCCCGGCCTCAGGGTGATCTTTCTTAAGTACCATGCTCCTCAAGCCATTCCCCTGCAGTCCCCTTTGTCCAGGCACTCAGAAGACTCCCACCTCTCCAGCCTGTAACAGCCAGAGGAAGTGGGTTTATCACCACCCATCTTTTTTTTTTTTTTTTTTTTGCATAATGATAAGGTTTGGACTTCTAGTGAACCCATCCTCCAAATAGTGAACATTAATAGGAAATTTTTCTTTTTTGAGGTGGGGGGACAGAGTCTCACTCCGTTGCCCAGGCTGGAGTGCAGTGGCACAATCTGGACTCACTGCAACCTCTGCCGCCTCCCACGTTCAAGAGGTTCTCCTGCCTCGGCCTCCCAAAGTGCTGGGATTACAGGCGTGAACCACTGCACTGGGCCTGTCATCGTCCATCTCCAGAATGAAGAGACACCTGCAGGTGCCCAGTGTGAAGGAGGCAGGCAGTGGGATTTGGACCTCAGCATGCCAGACATACCACAGGGCCACCCATTTCTCCTGGGTCTTGTACCTGGAGCCAAACTCCATGGCCCCGTGGCTGGGCTCATGGCCCAGGGAAGTTTGTTAGCAATCCCTGGGGCTTATGCTCTGTGCAATTTCCTATTAATCAGTCCTCTTCTTTCCTTGCTCTTCTTTCCTTCCTCTTAGCAGAGACACACCTTGAGCCCCAGAGAACACCCTGGGCATGCAGTCTGGCTAAAATGGAGAAATGAACAGGTACAGGTGATCAAGCTGGAATCCAGAGGTAGGTGGGAGATACCAAACCCAGACTGGGAGGAGGCAGGGAATCTGGGAAGGCTTCCTGGAGGAGGTGGTATGGGCATCAAGATAGGATGGAGTCCTACAGACCAGGGGAGGTGGAGTCAAGGGAAGGGAAGGGAGTTTCCCAGGGAGGAGACAGTAGCTGGAGGCAACAGAAAGGAAGGCAGGAAGGGAAAAGTTGAGCCTGAGTTTTGTCTAAACTCCCACCCTAGTTAGTCAGGCATAGTGGTACATGCCTGTAACCCCAGCTACCTGGGAGGCTGAGGAAGGAGAATCACTTGAACCCAGGAGGTGGAGGTTGCAGTGAGCCAAGATTGTGCCATTGCACTCCACCCTGGGGGACAAGAGCAAAACTCCATTCAAAAAAAAAAAAAAATCTTGCAAGATCAGTGACAGAGCTGGAAATTGGCCCCAGGACTCCACCATGCTCAGCTAATTTTTGTATTTTTAGTACAGATGGGGTCTCACCATATTGGTCAGACTGGTCTTGAACTCCTGACCTCAGATGATCCACCTGCCTCAGCCTTCTAAAGTGCTGCGTAGTGAGCCACCACACCCAGCCTGCATAATATTTTTTTCCCTCTGTATAATGACAACACCACGCTCACTCAGTGCTTCCCTTTTTACCCTCTCCCAAACCATTCTTTGCGGTTCACCTGTTCAAAACCTTCCAGTGACCTCGCATTAGGAGTACAATCCAAATTCCCCACAGTGACCTTCATTGCTCCAGGATCTGGTTCCAGCCACCTCGAAGAATTCTTCTCTCTGCAGTCTTTTTTTCCTTTCTCTCTGCTCTACCAGTCTGGGCTCTTTGTTGGGCCTTTCACAAGAGACGTAGGCTCTGCCCACCCCAGGCCCTTTGCACATGCAATGTGTATGTTCATGACAGCACTATTCACACTAGCAAAGACATGAAATAAACCTAAATACCCAAAGAAATATAAATTATTCTGTCAAAAAGATACATGCATATGTATGTTCAATGCAGCACTATTCACAATAGCAAAGACATGAAATCAACCTAAACGCCCATCAACATTGGACTGGATAAAGAAAATGTGGTGTATATACACCACGGAATACTATGCAGCCATAAAAAAGAACAAGATTATGCGCTTTGCAGCAACATGGCTGGAGCCAGGGACCGTTATCGGAAGTGAAGGAATGCAGGAACAAAAAGCCTAATACCACGTGTTCTCACTTATAAGTGGGAGCTGAACATTGAGTACACGTAGACACAAAGAGGGAACTCATACACGATGGGGCCTACCTGAGGGGGAAGGGTGGGAGGAGGGTGAGGACTGAAAAACTACCTATCAGGTACTATGCTTACTAACAGAGTGATGAAATGATCTGTACGCCAAACCCCTGAGACATGCAATTTGCCTAAATAATAAACCTGGGCTGAGCGCAGTGGCTCACGCCTGTAATCCCAGCACTTTGGAAAGCTAAGGTGGAAGGATGGCTTGAGCCCACGTGTTTGAGACCAGCCAGAGCAACATAGCAAAACTCCCATCTCTACAAATAATTTTAAAAATTATCACGCTGTGGTGGTGCACATCTGTGGTTTCATCTACTAGGGAGGCTGAGGTGGGAGGATCTCCTGAGACCAGGAGGTCTAGGATGCAGTGAGCCATGATCACACCACTGCACTCCAGCTTGGAAGACAGAACAAGACCATGTATCAAATAATAATAATATTTTTTTTTAATTAATAAAAAAAAAAAAAAAAACAGGTCAGACTCAGTGGCTCACACCTGTAATCCCAGCACTTTGGGAAGCCAAGGCGGGCGAATCACCTGAGGTCAGCAGTTTGAGACCAGCCTGGCCAATACGGTGAAACCCAGTATCTACTAAAAATACAAAAACGAGCCTGGTGTGGTGGCACGTGCCTGTAATCCCAGCTTCTTGGGAGGCTGAGGCAGGAGAATCTCTTGAACTTGGGAGGTGGAGGTTGCAGTGAGCCAAGATAGTGCCATTGCACTCCAGCCTGGGTGGCAGAGTGAGACTCCGTCTCAAATAATAATGATAATAATAAATAAATACAAATCAAAAACAGAGAAACCTGTACTTGTATCCCTGGACCTAAAATAAAAGTTAAAAACAACAGTAATAATGAGATACAATAAGAAAGTTCTGGGGTTTCTTCAATGGGGTTGAGACAGCAATTCTATTCCATTTAATTTAGCTCTCTGAGGGCCATCTAGCCTTCCAGGGCACATTCTGCAAAACGCTGCCTTGGACCTCTTTCCTTTCCGGAACCTTCTAAGTAATTCTTTTTTTAAACACAGTCTCGCTCTGTCACTCAGGCTGGAGTACAATGGCACAATTGCAGCTCACTGCAACCTCTACCTCCCCCCACCCGGGTTCAAGTGATTATCCTTCCCAAGCATTTTTTATTTATATATATATAATATATATTTTTAGTAGAGATGGGATTTTACCATGTTGGCCAGGCTGGTCTTGAACTCCTGACCTCATGATCTGCCCACCTCGGCCTCCCAAAGTGCTGGGATTACAGGTGTGAGCCACCGCGCCCAATCCATCGAAGTAATTCTTGACTCTGCCCACCGCCTCACCTCCCTTCATGCCTTCATCCCCTCTCTGTGCCTGACGTTCTGAAACAGCTCCTTTACTCATCCTCATCTTCTACCACCAGGTCCACCCTCCTCCAGTTCCCCTCTGCCCAGCCAACAGAGTGACCTTTCAAAAATGCAGCACCAGTCATGCCCCGCCCCTGGTCTGAATTCTTCAGTGCCTTCTGACTGCCCTCAGGACCAAGTCCAAACCTTGCAGCCTGGCGTTTTAGGCCCACCTTGAGCCGGGCCCGCCCTGCATTGGACTAACATATGACTTCACTTCTCACCTCTCAGCCTTTGCCTCCGCTGTTCCCTGTGCCGGAAGTGCCCTGCCTCCCTTTACCTGACTCTGCGTCCCCTAATTCTCTCCAGGCCTCCCTCTCCTGCCTCCCTCCCCAGAGAGAAGGCAGAACTCCCCTCCCTGTTCCCAAAGCACCTCCTTGTAAAATTGCACTCCAGCCTGGGAAACAGAGAAAGACCCTGTCTCAAAGGGGAAAAAAAAGGGACAGAGAGAGAGAACAAGATTCAGGAGGCTGATGGAGGAGGATCTCTTTGAGGCCAGGAGTTCAAGACGAGACGGAGCAGCATAGTGAGACCCTATCTCTAAACAAATTAAAAACTTAGCCAGATGTGTTGGCACCAGCCTGAAGTCCTAGCTATTTGGGAGGCTGAGACAGGAGAATTGTTTGAGCCCAGGAGTTTGAGACCAGCCTGGGCAACATAGTGAGATTCTGTCTCTACAAAAAAATAAAAAATTTGGCCAGGCATGGTGTTACCTGTAGTCCCAGCTACTTGAGATGCTGAGAAAGGAGGATCGCTTGTGCCCAGGAGGTGGAAGCTGCAGTGAGCTATGATTGCGCCATTGCACTACAGCCTGGGCAACAAGGCGAGACCCCATCTCTTAAAACA